GGGGGGGGGGCACCAAGTTGGAAGTTGGTGGCACATGCCTTAAATTCCAGCACACAGGAGTAGAGGCGGGCTGGGCAGTGGTGGCGCACGCTTTTAATCCTAGCACTTGGGAGGCAGAGGCAGGCGGATTTCTGAGTTCAAGGCCAGCCTGGTCTACAGAGTGAGTTCCAGGACAGCCAGGGCTACACAGAGAAACCCTGTCTCGAAACCCCCCCCCAAAAAACAAACAAACAAACAAACAATACATTAATCGCCCAAGCTAAAAAAACCCTGTCTTCACATTCCTGGGCTGCATGTAGCCCGAGTGTAGCCCTGCATTAAGCTGGCTAAGGGTGTGGGTCCTGGACTCCTTACCAAGACTGAGGCCTGCAGTAACCGGGACCTAACTTCCCCCCTCCATTTGTTTATTTAGCAGATGGTGACAGGTCTCTGAACTCAAGTAATTTTGAGAACAAAAAACCAGTTAAGTCATCTTCTATTCCTCTCTTGGCTCTGAGTTCATGCATGTATGTCCAGCAGATTCTCCTGTTTCTCACACCAGTGCACTTCCTGACATCTCGTCACTACACTGGCTCAGACCCTTACACCTCTCATCTACAGTACGTAGCACACTTGTAAAGTGGTCTAACCTCTCACCCTACATCTCGAGTCAACAATTAATGCAGTGATTACTGATACACTCAAACACACCTAGAAGATCTAGATGGACAATGAACGTCCATAATAGAGGTCATCCATCATTGGTGATGGAGGCCGAGGCTGGTCAGGCTGGTCAGGCTGCCTTCTTCCTTTCTTTGAAACTATCTAATGAACAGTTTCACCTAGAGGGCTCTAGCAGACCCTCTTAAAAGATCTCTTGCCAAAGCAGTCTTTCATCTTGATAAACACCTCCTTAACTCAGATCAGAACCCTAGGAAACCCCTCAGGTCTCCGTCTCACAATCTGAGTTAAGGAGGCCAGACTGGCTTCTGGATAGTGCTTTGAGAATGAGAACCAGACTGTAAGCACCCTTTTATTCAGGGCACAGCAGCCTTCTGATCCCCGGGAAGTGCTCTAAGATGTATGAATATAGACTAAATAAAATGCTAAGGGGCAGGCATTAAAACCCTCATCTAAATGAAAACAAAGTCTGAGAAGTCCATTGTCTAGCTGTAGAAGCTGGGACTATAGCCAAGTCCACGATTCCACAGCCTTCCAAACTATTTTACACCTCTGCCTCCAACAGTGTTCTTCAGGGAACTGCAGAAGGAAAAGCACAGTGTATTTATGGACTGTTACATTTATCTGATGGGAGTTGGGCTAGTTAAGCTGAGTAGCACTAGGCTACAGGAAGTCCATTATAAACCATACCTAACGCCAACCCTGGAGTGCTTTTATATTTGTATCACTGCCTGGGTTCTCTACGGTGTAGCTGGGGTTGAGGACGCTCAAGGAGAAGGTATTGTGGCCCTCCAAGTGAGCAGGGGAAGAAAATCAGCCCATGCCTCTCAACACCTGGCAGCCCTTAGAACTCTTCTGACATGGCATCAGAGCCACCTCACACATCTGGTATTCAATAGAACTACTGGAGCCCCACAGCCAGACAACTGCTTAGTGGCACATGTACTAATCCTCCAGATGTGTTCCTGCCTCTAGGGGGCACTGTAGTCTTAGAAATACCGTCTATCCTGTTTGCTCACAGATAATGTATTTTCTTTCTTTTTTAAATGTTTGCTGTATGAGAGTTTTGATATGTAGCCCAAGATGAACCCAAACTTGCAGCAATCCTCCTACCTCTGCTTTCTGAGTGCTGAGATTATAAGTATGTATCACCATACCACTTTCCTCTTAGGCTTAACTTAATTTTTAGATTGGGATATAGCCTAGTTGGCAATAGTATCTGTCTAACAAGGCAGCCCTAGGTTTGACCACCAGTGTTTTATAAATAGTGTGGTGGCTCAAGAGGCACGATCAGAGAGCTCGAAGTTACCGTGAGCTCACTGAAATCCTACCTCAACAGCAGTAAAAATGCCAGAGTCAATGGCATATTCTTTTAATCTCAGCACTATGGAGGCAGATGGCAGGCTCATCTCTGTGAGTTTGAGGTCAGCTTGGTCTACATAGAAAGTTCCCAGCCAATCCCTACATAGTCAACCCCACCGGGCATGGAAGAGCACATATGCCTGCTTTTAATCCCAGCACTCAGAAGGTGGAGACAGGTAAATCTCTGTGAGTTCAAGACCAGATTAGTCTACATAGCAAGTTCCAGGGCAGTCAGGAACTACAGAGAAACTCTGTCGCAAAAGAAACTCACAAACAAAACAAAAAGTTGTGGTACTGAACAAGTAAAGCCCATAGCTTTCTTCACATTACAGTAGAAAGTTCTAGTTTTTTGAGACAAGGTCTTGTAAGTTTGAGGCTGCACTCCAAGTCCCATGGCAGCCTGAATTACACAGTGAGACCCTGCCTGCAAAGACCAAGAAGCAAGCAAATAAACAAAAAAAAAATGTTAGAAAATTTACATGCCAGTGAAGCTTGAAATGTCTAAACAAATACTTCCACCCTAAAGGAAAGACAAGCCAGAGAAAGCTGCACGTGAACCAGGCACTGCTGTGCTATCTCTAGATGATGGACAGCTTAATACTAGATGCTCACCGTCCTCTGTGTATGCAGTCTATATGCCTTCTCTCTGATTCAATAGTTTTCAAAGTAATGATCGTGAGCCATCTACAACAAAATTATTTTGACTATTTCTTTATTTTATGTGCACTGGTGTTTTGTCTGCATGTATGTCTGTGTGAGAATGTCAGATCTTGGAGTTACGGACAGTTGTGAGCTGCCATGTGAGTGTTGGGATTTGAACTCTGGAAGAGCAGTCAAGTACACTTAATTGATGAGCCATCTCTGCAGCCCCATTGTGACTTTTTTTAGGAGCCTCATTATGTAGCAACAGCTAGACTTGAATTTATAATCCTGCCTCAATCTCCTGAGGATTATAGGTATGTGCTATCACATTGACTGAGACATCTTCTATATGTTCCCATTCCTGAACCATTCTAGACCTTCGGAATCAGCAGCTCAGGAGCTGAAGGCTACATATTTGTGCAAGCCTCCATCCAGGCCTCAGTCTCCTACCTACAGTGCCACTGAACCTGGATTTGCCCAGCAGCACTCACAGCACTGCCTCTTGAGGGGAGACAGGGCAAGCCGACGGCACATACCTGTTCGTGGTCCAGCATGGTGAGCCCTTTTACTCCTGCCAGGATAAGATTCTTGGCAATTTCAGCCCCAAGTCCTTTCATGCCAACTATCAGCACCCGGGAAGCTCGAAGCCTGTGAAACACATTATGTTAATCTGGTGACCACAAATAATAGGACTTGTTCAATCACAGGACAATAAAAAAGGAAAGCTTTATTTTCACTATATGCACCACAGGAACACCACTGAACCTTCAGATCTAGAAAACTGGTCCCAAACAATTCTGCACAGAAAATTACTTCTGTATTGAGCATGTACTGTGCATCCTCTCCACCATGGGCAGAGCAGGAAAGAAAGCAGCTCTTCAAACATAAGACCAGATGATGGGGCCAGGGATATAGCTCAGTCGGTAGAATACTTGCCTTGCATGTAATGTATGAGGTCCTGCATGGATCCCCAGAACCACAAAATAAGTGAAGACATTCATTTAAAGGAAGACAAAAGGAAGATGTGATTTTAAACAGACCAGTGGTAATGATGAAAACCTTTCTGAAGCAGTATAGCTATAATCTGAGCGGCTGGGAAGCTGAAACAAGAGGGATCCCAGGAAGTTCACATCCAGACTGGATTACAAAGACCTTGTCTCAACAAAAAAAAGAAATCCAGAGAAGGTGTTTTTTGATCAAAATAAAATAAACAACCAATCAACATACAGATAGTTGAAAAGAAAGCATTCCAACTATAGAAAACTAAACCTGTAAACACACAAGCCCATGAAGGGATACTTGAGGCTGGGCAGGGTGGTGCACACCTTTAGTCTCAGCACGTCGGAGGCAGAGGCAGGCAGATCTATGTGAGTTCAAGGCCAGCCTGGCCTACAAAACGAGTTCCAGGAGAGCCTGTGCTGTTACACAAAAAAATATGTTTCAGAAACAAGAAAAAGGAGAGGAAAGGGAGATGCCTGGCTTGACTGTTTCAGAGACAGCAAAAACAAAGAGGCTGCAAAGTGGTGCAGAAGAGACAAACGTGAAGGATGAAAATGAGGTGCATGGCATGAAGGCTGGGGGGGGGGGGCACTAGAAACCATAGGGTGAGAAGATGTCACAGTTAATAGAAGACTAGAGTGGTTGTGTGTGCACACCCAGTCAGACTAGTACAATAACCAAAGAGGTGGTGAAAAGGGCAGGGTATTGATTATGGTATTGGAGACTGAACTCAAGGGCTCCTGCCAGAGCAGGAAGTGCTTTAGCAATGAAGTACAACCCTAGCTCAGCAAGAGCAACATTATTTAATCTGGAGACTCAAGCAAAACACATGGAAGCATAGGAAGGTGTGGGTGCACACATGTAATCGCGGCACGGGAGAGATGGAGACAGGATAAGGGGGTAGGCTCAGAGTCACGCTCCACCACATAGTAAGTTTGACGCCAACCTGAGCACAACAAAAACAGGTAGGGGAACTGTTTTGATCTCTATAAAGAAAAATAAGACAGAAACCCAAAACAAACAAAGCACCTGGAAATGACGACAACAATCAGTGAGTGCTTACTTAGCGTTACTTTAAGAATCATTACATCACCGGGCAGTGGTGGCGCACGCCTTTAATCCCAGCACTTGGGAGGCAGAGGCAGGCGGATTTCTGAGTTCGAGGCCAGCCTGGTCTACAGAGTGAGTTCCAGGACAGCCAGGGCTACACAGAGAAACCCTGTCTCGAAAAAAAAAGAAAGAAGAAGAAACAGGTGTTAAGACAGACGACTTCTCTTAACTCCCACCACTTTCATTATAAAAAGCCTAGTCAGTCACATACTTGAATCTAGATTTTTCAGCAACCACTCTGAAAAAGAATTGTTTGAGACTTGGTCTCATGCATACCAGGTGGCCCTAAAACTATGTAGCAGAGGACAGCCTTGAACTCTGACCCTCCTGCCTCTACCTCCAGTTTGTACCTTCTTGCCTAATGTATTTGGTACTAGGACCAAACCCAGGGCTTCATGCATGCAAGGAAGGCAAACAAGTGCGCTACGTTCCCAGCTGATAAACCTACAGCTCACATTTAGTTGTCCAGGACTTGTCTGTACCACTTCACTAGCTTTATCGCCTATTATCACACTACTACTCACCAAGACTTCAAAACCAGAACATTCCACACCCCTGAAACACACTTCTTCCTCTCTGGCCCATTCAAACTCCCTCACTCCAGTGCCATTTCCTCAGAACCCGAGGAGGTTAATATTCACTGTCGACTTTATCAGATTTAGAATCACCATGTACACACAGCTCTGGGTATGTTCTATGACAGTGTTTATATAAGGGTCAATGAAAGGGGGCAGAGCTACCCTGCCTGTGGGCACCACAATCAATGGAGTGGGTTCACATTCAATGAAAAGGAGAAAAAAGGCAGCAAGCTGGCTCAGGTTCCACAAGCAGAATGTTTGCTGCATGAAGATGCAAGCCAGAGGACATGAGTTCCATCCTCAGAAGCTACAGAAAGTTAATAATGAGCACCAAGTCCACAAAGTTGTTCCCTGACTTCCATACGTACCTGCTCAGAAATCTACCACCTGTCACAGACATTCAATAATTCCCAGCACTCAGGAGGCAGTAGCAAGTGTAAGTTCAAGACCAGCCTGGACTACATAAGTACTTCCTAGACCCTGTCTCAAGACAAACAAAATAATAAAGTTTAAAAGGACAGCAGGGACCAGAACACCAACTGTTCACCTGTCTGCTGACTAGATGCAATCCCACCAGACTCCTCACATCCTTGCTGCTGTGGCTATATAGATTGTACCCTCAAAATAAACTACAGCAACGAGAAAATAATTAACACACGGGTCTTTCTCTGTAACTTCTTTATCACATTATTTATACTCAGGAATCCATTCTGTTCTTTCACTTTTTAGGTCCCTGAGACTGAAATCATGTTGTCAGGATTTGCAGCAAACACCTTTACCTGCTGAGCAAGCTTGCCAACCTCAGGGGCCTTTCCTACCATGGCACACTCAAGGAAGAATGACCTCTCCAGAACTTTCCTTGTAGCAGCAATATTTAAAGTCTCTAATGGTCCCAATGGCACAGGCTTGCCATCCCAGCTGCTCAGGAGGCTGAGACAGAATCAAAAGTACAAGAGTAAAGCTAGCTAAGAGAGGTGGCTCACACTTGTAACTCCAGCAGGCCAAAGGAAGTTCCAGACCAGCTGTCACAGAGAGAGAGAGAGACCTTGTTTCAACACACACACATGGACAACTGGAAACACTAAAAAGAGGGCTATTCTGTGAACAAATTTACAAAAAGGGAGAAAAGGCTTCTGACCAGTCTCAGGTTACTGCATGGCTTCTCCAGTCCCCCAACCCCCATCCACTATAACACAGCTCTTCAGAATGAGGGGTCTACAACTATTCTCTTTATTTAGCGGCAAATGGAAATGAGTATCATGTTTTAATCTTAGGCAGGGCCCCAGAGACCAGAGCTTACTTATGGCTCAATTATATGAAAACGCTTAAAACACTAGCTGGCACACAGTCAGCACTTAATGAAGTAGCTATCATTTATAGTCTCTGAAGTAGCAACTCCCCTTTTAGGCTTCAATCCTACAGACGTACATGAACATGAAAATTATACAGAAGCTTGCACTGTGGCAATATTGTAGTCAATGAGGTTAGTCTGAGGCACAATATTTGAGTTGAAAAAAATATGTACACCATACACATTCTTCCACTTGCCCAACCTATCTATACCTTAGCCATGCGATCACTACTTCTCAACAGTACCCACGAGTACGCAAGCAAGCATATATAATTCCAGCTATGTTGGAAGCTGAGGCAGAAAGATCATCACTTGAACCCGGGAAGAACAAAACAAGACCTTGTTTCTTTCTTTTAAAAAAAAATGTATTATTTCTTTCGTTGTATTCGCTTGCACACGCCTTTGTACACCACATGTGTGCAGGAGGCACAGGTGGCTAGATCCCCTAGAAGTGGTGTTGCAGGAAGTTGTAAGCTGCCATGTGGGTTCCAGAAACTGAACACCAATCTCATGAGAGAGAGTTAAGTGCTCTTAACTGAGTCATCTCAACAGCCTAAGTTAAAAGTACAAAAACAAAGAAGCCATGGCTGCAACTCAAAATACTAGCAAGCACAAAATACTGGGCTCCATCCCCAGGACTGCATAAACGGTGCGTGGCACACAGCTGCAATCCAAGCGCTCCAGAGACAGAGAGAGAGGCAAGAGCAGGGGGACCAGAAGTTCAAGGGGATCAGGCTGAGTATAAGGCAAACCTGGAGACTCTGCCGAAATGCATCTGGCGCCCATGCGTCCATCTTACCCCTTATCATCTACTGCCCCCAGTTCAAAGACATTTTCTGAGGAAGGCGGTGGTGGCGCACACCTTTAGTTCCAGCACAAGGGAGGCAGAAGCAGGAGGATCTCTGAACTCAAGGCCAGCCTGGTCTACAGATCTAGTTCCAAGACAGTCCAGGCTACACAGAGAAACCCTGTCTTGGGAGGTTGGGGGAAAACATGTTTTGTTTAACCTACTGGGTACAACTCAGGGTTTCACAGGCTAGGCCCTTGCTCTAGCCACTGACCAGCCTAGATAAACCTTTCACAATGGAAGCTACATTTTATCACATGTTCAAATCTTTGAACGGTCTCTGCAGGCTTGGTGCAAAATCAGTCCTGTGGATCCTCTTATTTTTCATTCTCTACTCTTTCACCCATTAACCTGCTAAAGGCAAACCGGCTTCTCTTCTCAGGAAGTAAGGCTCCTCCCAACCAAGGACCTGGGTATTGAAAGATCCCATTTGACCTCTCCAAGTTTAAACAAACGACTCATTCATTAGTTATCAGACTTTCTCTAGGAAAGTAGCATTTTCCTAGAGAAGCCCATAATGACCTAAACTTTGTGGGGTTTGTTTTGGTTTTGGTTTTAAGGAGGGGGAGACAGGGTTGAGATTATGGACATCAGCTACTGAACCGCTTCTCATACAGTGCAAGAAACAGAACCTAGGACTCTATAAGCTAAGCAAGCACTACCAAGTGAGCTATACACCAATGACCATCACACCATGCTTACGTGACATGCTGGATGACAAGGCATAGGTCAAGTTTCAGGCAACAAAACATAAACCTCTATGCTAACTGTGCTACATTATTAAAATCCTCAGAGAGAAAAGGCCTTAAAACAGAAATGTCTTGTTTTGTTTTTGATAGTCTCTTGTAGCCCAGGCTGGCCTTGAACTCCTGGTCCTCCTGAAGCCACCTTGGAAACACTAGGATTATAAATATCACTGCACCTATGATGCCAGCTCTCCTAGCACTGGGCAGGAGGACTGCTCCAAGTTTGATGCCAGCCTGGGCTAGAATGGAACTGTGTCTAAGGAAAAATAAACCATTTGCTGAGACAGGCTGGGAAGCTGGAGTATTTGTAACCCCAGTAAAACACACATGCCTAGCATGGGATTCCACTTCTAGCCCTGAAACTATTAACTGCTCATAAAACCTCTTAGGGATGTCAATGTTGAGTTCAATACTCTTTTAATATTTTCCTTTCTTTTGTTGCTTGATATTCAAACTTGTCTAATCACAGAGAATTTACTGGTGCCTCCTGAGCGTAAGAGTTGTTCATGTGTTATCTCATTTACGACACAATATCATAAAGTATATTCATTCTCTTTTTTCTTCAGAGACTGTACGTGTTGCACATCTGAGAGTATGCATGTGCAGCACATGTGTGCAGTGCCCACAGAAGCCAGAAAAGGATTTCAGATTCGGCGTGGCAGGGCTTGCCTTCCTCTTTCCGCCATCTTGGAGTCTGTGGAGGCCTGCTGGGAACAGGACTTCTAAAAGCAAGTATGTCTGAAAGGCTGTGGTGCAAGGCCACTTTTGCTGGCTACAAGCCAGGTCTCTGGAACCAAAGAGAGCACACGGCTCTTCTTAAAATTGAAGGCATTTATGCCCGAGATGAAACAGAGTTCTACTTAGGCAGGAGATGTGCTTGTGTGTACAAAGCAAAAAACAATACAGTGACTCCTGGAGGCAAATCAAACAAAACCAGAGTGATGGGGGAAGGTAACTCGGGCCCATGGAAACAGTGCATGGCTCATGCCAAATTCTGAAGCAACCTTCCTGCAAAGACCGCTGGGCACAGGATCCATGTGATGCTGTACCCATCCCGGATTTAAACTAATGCAGAGTAAATACATAAAAATAAATTTGTGAGCTGGGCGGTGGTGGCGCTCGCCTTTAATCCCAGCACTTGGGAGGCAGAGGCAGGCGGATCTCTCAGTTCGAGGCCAGCCTGGTCTACAGAGTGAGTTCCAGGACAGCCAGGGCTACATAGAGAAACCCTGTCTCGAAAAACCAAAAAAAAAAAAAAGATTTGTGCTCTTTAAAAAAAAAAAAAAAAAGAGTTCAGATTCCCTGCAACCAGAGTT